GGAGCAGAAGGATGCGATCCGAGCGGTCGTGGCGCAGGTGGGCAGGGCTGAGCGTTGCTGCCGCTGCTGCTGCTGCTGCTGCTGCTGCTGCTGCTGCTGCTGCTGCTGCTGCTGCTGCTGCTGCTGCTGCTGCTGCTGCTGCTGCTACTGCTGCTGCTCCTGCTGCTGCCGCCGCCGCCGCCGCTGCTGCTGCTGCTGACGCTGTGGCCTTGGCAGCGGGATTGTTTCGATGAAATGCATTCAACCAGTGCGGCTTGACGGCCACTGATTTCGCTGATCGTGCTGCTGAGGCGACAAGCACCAGTAGCAGCAACAGCCACCCGAATATGCATGCAGCGGCAATGCAGCAGGACGCAAACCAGGGGGAAGCTGCGTAGCCGGGCCTACCCAGCGCAGGCAGCTGGCACATGCAACCGCACGGGCTCCTGCCGTGGCCCGACACCGCGTGGCGCCCGGACCCCCGCCGCAACTGCGACGCAGGTGCCCTTCCTGGACGGCAAGCTCACGCTGCAGCGGAACTTGAAAACGCGCGGCGTGCTCGCCCTCCTGCGCGGCGCGGCGGCAGGTGCGCAGGCGTGAGCGCGAGAGCGAGAGCGAGGGCGAGCGCCACAGAACAGGGCCTCTTGGCTGCCACGGGGCAGACCGGCCGCTGCCGACGCTCCGCGCATGCGCTAGGCCTGCTGGGCTCGCAGCGTCGCGTGCATCTCAGCCACGTTTGAAACCGACGTCCCGACTGATTGCTTCGCCGCCTTTCCCCGCGCCCACGCCATGCGCTCGCGGCAGGCCTGCACGACCATGTGCGCGGGGCCTTGGGGCAGCCGGCGGCGTACGTGCGGCTTGCGGGGCCCGTGGGTTCCAACTCGCTGATGCAGTTGGATGAGTACGAGCTGGAGTCGTACTTCTCAAAGCACCCCAAAGTGTACCAGGTGCGGATGGGTCGCTGTGGGATGGTTGGGAGGGGGTTGGCGGGGTTGAAGAGGGCCTCTCTTGTGAGTAGCGCTAGGGTTCGCATTCGTGTGTGTGTGTGTGTGTGTGTGTGTGTTTGTGGGCACGTGTGTTGTTGAACACCAATCACGTGTATTTGCCTCTCATTTCACCCCATCACTTGGCCCACCTTCTCCTGGAAATCCAGGGTGGCTGGCGCAACCAGGCGCGCGCCGCCTTTGGCCTGGAGGCCTCCTCCTACCGGCCCATCGAGTCCGTGCCGCACGTCACGGCGCCCGTCCTTTACATCACCGCGGTCAAGGACACGCTGTGCCCGCAGGAGGCCATCCAGGCCGCCGTGGCGAGCACGCCGCGCGCGCGGCAGATCGTCATGCCGTGCACCCACTTTGATGTCTACCGGGGCAAGGAGTTTGAGCAGGTGGTAGAGGCGGAGACGGCCTTCCTGCTAGAGCACCTAGCGCCAGAGGCGGCGGCAGCGACGGCGGCGGCGGCGGCGGCAGCGGCGGAGCAGGATTCGGCGGCGGCAGAGCAGGGCGCGGCGGTGGCAGGCGGCGGGGATGCGCATGAGGAGCTTTGACGAGGAGGAGATGATGAGAGCTTTCGCTCTGCTTCTTTGGCTGCGTGCGCACGCAGCATATCACAACGGCAGAATGGGATGTGGTGCGGTCTGCGGTTCGCCGACTGCAAATGGCATTTGAAGGTGCTCTGCGGCGCCTGGAATAACACTGTAGCTCAGTTAGTGATGCAAATCCACAACTCTACTTCGATTTTTGGACGCATAAGCCAGCAACAAGACAGACGCGCAGGCATGGGGCAGCGCAGGGTGGCGACAACAAGAGTCAACGCAACTGTCGTGCTGGCAGCACTGCAAGTTTACCACGCTGCAGGACAAGGACAGCACCGCATGATCAGTATCAACAAACCTGCTTCAATTCAATGAGCTGCACCAACAGTACCATGTACTTCCAGTGGCACGCACCAGGCTCCATGAATGAATGATCTGAACTGCAGGCTCAAGGAGCTGATGCCCCATATACATCTATAATGATGAAAACAAGGATGCCTCCACAGTCGAGCGAGCTGCAAGGCGCAGCCTACTCTCGAAGCCAGCATGGTGAGCCGTTCTGGTCTCCTAGTGCCCGCTGCCTGGTTGCACAGCCGTATAGTGCACAGAGTGTAGCGCACCTCGCTTTTCTCAATAGCTGTCTGCGTGGCGTTCGCAGATGCTGTGCGTGCACGGTTTGCGCGCTGCGTCGTCAGGGAGCGACGGCCGCGCTATCCTCTGGAGCCGTGCGCGCCGCTTACGCCGTCAGTGGGGCTGCAGCACCCCTCACATGCGGCGATTACACATCTTTCAACATCATCAGCCGTAAGGCCGCTGCACCAGCGCGCGAGCGGTGGTGGAAGCGATGGCGGCGTCGGCGGCAGCACGATGTCGCCTGGCGTCAACCACGCACCCGCCGAGCCGGCGGCGCGCCTGGCGGCCCGCCGGGCGCTGAGCAGCATCAGGGCCACGCCCGCTGCCGCGGCCGCCGCCGCTGCAGCAGCCGCGTCGCGCGCCGCCTTGCGGGCCACTGGCCAACAACCCGCGGCCGAGCCGCTGCCCGCCGCGGCCTCTGCTGATGTCAGCGAGGGCGGCAGCCAGCCGGCGCCGGCGGCGCCCTGCACGCTCGCGCGCCACCCCCCGCGCCGCCAACACGCGTGGTACCCGAATCTGGAGGCCGACATGGCCGCCGTGTCTGCAGAGCTGGGCCTGTCGGGGCGCGCCGGCGCCGCGCTCGCGCGGGCCGCGCGCCGCGGCGCGATCAGCGCCAACCCGGGGGTCGTCCTTTCCCAGGTGGTCAGGCTGCTGCCCCTCGAGCCCCGGCTGGGCGGGCGCGGCGCGCTGTCCGCGATGCTCGCCGGCTGCCCGGGGCTGCTGCGGCACGACGCGTCGACGCTGGCGGCAAACCTGGAAGCATTAGAGGAGCTGCTGCCGCCGGGGGCGGCCGCGCGGGCCGTCGCCGACGTGCCGGGGCTGCTGGAACTGCCGCCCTTCCGGCTGTGGAGCAACGTGGCGGCGGTGGTGGAGCTCATGGCGGCGGCGCCGCCGCCTCGGGGCAGCTGCGGGGAAGCTGCCGCGGCGGCGGCGGGGCCGGGGGCTGGGGCGACAGCCGTCGGGCAGCGCGTGCG